TACACACTTGCCTGTCCAATACGATGCTCGATCAAATGCGTGGATAACTGCCGCCCTCTTTAAAGACTGGTTTTTCACCACTTTGTGCCTGAGGTCAAGGAATCCTTCAAAAGCCTTGGTCTACCAGAAGATACTAAAGTCATCCTTCTTTTGGACAATTGCAAAGCCCATCCGCTAGTAGATGAGTTAGTTTCTGGAAATATTGTTGCTACTCTGCTCCCACCTAACGTAACATCTTTGATTCAACCCATGGACCAAGGGGTTATTCAAAATTTTAAATGCTTTTATAGAAGGTCTTTTATTCAAGGCCTGTTAAATGCCGACTGTGACGTGACTGATTTTCAAAAAAAGTTTACAGTAAAAGATGCCGTCTATGCTATTGCACAGTCTTGGAACCAGGTAAAAAATACAACACTCCAAAAATGCTGGAGAAACCTTTGGCCAGCTGCAAACCCTGCATCTGACCTAACTCTACAGACTGATGAGGAAGAAAACCATCAAGACGCTCTGACCAAAGTTTTGGATGTCGTTAGAAGTACTGACAATCCCTTGAAAAACCTGCCTGAAGATGAGGTAGAGGAGTGGCTTTTAATCGACGAGAATGTGCCTGTTGAACAAGAGCTAACCGATGAGGACATTATCAACATTGTAGTAAACCCTCAGCCTACTCAAAATCTTGAAGAAAATGACTCAGATGCCGAAACGGAAGAAAAGGAAAAAATCAGCTGGGCAGAAGCTGCAGAATCACTAAATAAGTTTATCTCTTTTGCCGAGGCTAGTACTAGCTACAGTGCTTCAGAAATTATTGATTTCCATATCATTAGAAATAAATTTTATACTAAACGCCAAAAGTCAAGAAAACAAAAAGACATTCGTGACTTTTTTAAATCTAAGTGAAATATGTTTTACAGTACGTGTACATACATTATATGAAATGTAAAATAAACTTTGTTGTATGTATTTGCATACTGTATTTTTAGTTTAATTATTAACCTAATTGTTCTTATAATTACCGCCCGATAGACGGAATTTTCGGTAGTCCGGCACCGAGCCGGTCCCGAACATGCCGGATTATCGGACTTCTACTGTATTCGCACTTAAACCATAAAAATCTGATGTTCTTTTGGGGGTCATTCTTTTTTTTTTTTTTTTTTTTTTTTCTACCATGAGGCCACTTCGTGGCCAGGTGGGTCTGAGTGTACCCCCCAATGTATTACAATGTATTACCTACTTCTACCAAGCCAATTATCTTGAAATTCTGTTAATCTACACATTTACGATGACAATACGATATATCCAAGAAAATCCTCCTTTTTAAATTCGATTCTTTTTACAAAATTTTTACATATAACCTTATTTAATGATTGAATTTAATCATTATATAATTCGGATTTTTACAGCACTGATTAGATCAAAAATCCTTTAAATGAAATTTGTCTAGAATCTAATAAAATGATTTTTCAGTTATCACCTGGGATGCATATTTTCTGATAGCTTTAATACAAGTAACTAGTCAATGTAACTGTTCATAATAATGAATTTTTAAACGAGAAAAAGTTAAAGAAAAATTTAAATAAATTGAACGTAATCTTAAACTGCCAGATAAATCGGGAAACATTGAAGGAAAGGTAATTTCAATAATAACTTCACTGATATGATTACAAGGAATAATTTTCATACGTTCAGAGTCAGTGATTTTCTTTCTTTATTGATTATCCCCCATTCTAAGGACTAAAATGCGTAAAATATATAAAAACGCTTTTGAAATCATTAAAAACATATTTTTTTTTTTTTTTTTTTTTTTACCACAAACTTGTTGGTCATATGTGGTTAAATATAAAATCATGGAGTTTCCATAGAAAAATTGAGTAGCGACATAAAAAGAAACAATGAAATTGATAGCATAGAATGACATATTATAGCAATGGAAATTTTATTCAGTTAAATTTCTCTTTGAAAATTTTCATTTAAAATTCGTCTTTACGATTTTATTTCACATATGACTAAGAATATTTGATAGTTAAAAAATTACATTTTATTTTTAAAGCCTTTTAGAACCTAGTTTTCCCCCTTTGTATTTTATTTAATTATTTATTTTACAGTCAAGTAATTCAGTTGCCGGGCAACGCAAATTGAGCGACTTGACATACAACCAACGCCTCTCGAAAAGTCACGTTGTGACGTTTGGGTTACAGTCGAAAACATCGATGACGAAAACTTCGCAGAGAAAACAACGCAAGACTTCCTGGTACAAAACATCGTGGGCGAAAAGAAAGCAAAGAGAAAACATCGCAGTTCTAAAATATCTTGGTACAAAATATCGTGGTCAATAATAAAGCGGTTTAAAAACTGTGCAATTTAATCGTAGTCGAAAATATCGGTTAAAAATAAAGTACCTACAAATCATCGCATGACGATAACATCGCAGAATAGGTTTTTGAAATCCCATGCTGACATATTATGTAACTGATTTTCCTCATAACTAACAAATCGACCTCCAAAAAATTATGCACACTATACATGAAAATATTAACGAAATTTTAAGAATAAACGGATACAAAACAATATATAATTTTCTCTAAAACAATGTCAAATCAACAAATGTGAAAGAAAATAATTTGATCGTTAACTAAGCAATTTTTATAAAGGTAACCTCATGCAGTTATTTATCTTCCTTTATCTAAGCATTTTTAGACTATATTATTCATAAAAAATTATCAGTAGAACTTTATAAAAGACAGTTAATTTATTAATGACCTTTGTTAATTAACTATGTAAATTAAAAATTCTATTAAGTTCTGTAAGTTTCATTAATTTTCTACTCATTTTCAGTTTTTAAATGCTGAAGTTTCCTTCTTATTTTCTCAGCAAAAATTTATTATGTCGTTCAAAAATATGAAATATAGAAGTAAAAGAATCCCTGTTTCCTTCTTGCGCTCCCAAATCATTATACGAACGAGCATTTATAATTTTTAAAACTTGAAAAGGCATGTGTATTATGTTATCGTCATGCGATGATTTGTAGGTACTTTATTTTTTGCCACGATATTTTCGAAGACGATGTTTTTAAACTGCGAAGTTTTTTAACCGCTTTACTTTCGACCACGATATCTTGTACTACGGTGTTTTAGAGCTACGATGTTTCCTCTTTGCTTTCTTTTCTCCCACGATGTTTTATATCACGACGTTTTCGCCTTGCCTTGTTTTCTCCGCGAAGTTTTCGTCCGCTATGTTTTTGGCGGACACCGACGTTTGCCACGTTTCGAGAAAAAAAAAAAAAAAACTGTCTTTCTTGGTTACTGTGTATTACTTTTTATAGTATAATTGTTTATGAATTTGAATTGATTGTGTTTCTTTTGTAACTTTATCAACCTATCTGCATCTATTGAGAACTATTAGGCAATATCGGATTTATAAAGTGAGGGGCTCATGTCACCTGAAGTTTTGAGGGTCCCTCTGCCATAGGTTAGGTTTATTATTTTTATCACTGATGAATGAATTGGGTCCTTTGGAACCCCGGGCTTCTCTGGATTGTGACATGCGAGACCCCATAAGTCTGCCTTTATTGTTATATAGTCCTATTGTTATACGTTATACGGCATAATGGAAAATTTCTGCCATGCCAAAAGCGGTGTGAATCAAAAATTGTTTGGAACCACCGTTTAAGGTAACGTGTGCCATAATACGTAATATATAATATATAAACGTGTGCCATAATATGCCTTAAACCACTGTTTTAAGGCATATATGGCACACGTTTTCTTTTGAGCTTTCATTTCAATTTGCAGAGTTACTACTACCCAAAATAGAAATCCTCACTTTTTAAAAAATAAAAAATATTTATTTAAAAAGTCTAATTAAAATATATCAATTTTGTATCTAAGATAAAAAATTTCGTTTTAAGAATAATTCCAGTATTTCATGCGATTAAACAAGGGCATAATGAAATTGAACTTGATTATTCTATCTGTTGTTTTAAAAAGAAGGAGCAGATTTATTTGTTTGCAAAACCTTTAATTCTTGGTAAACAGAAATGCATCATATAAGAGAGATTATGTATTTCCATGTTCGATTATATTCAGTACGTTAGCTAAAAGCAGGTATTCTTTACCACTGCATTAAAAGAAATGCGCAGCATAACTGACGATTGCGCTTTTGCTCTCCACATCTAACCCCCTCAAAATTTGTTTCGCCTAAGATGAAATGTACAGGAAGCAAATAACATTGCTTACACCCTCTTAATTTCTCAAGAAATATTTAAATTCACAATATTTTTATGCCTCGGAATTTATTATCCACGTCTCCAGCTGCCGAGATATACGTGATTTAGGGGGAAAAATATTTAATATTCCATGACCTTGCCCATCACATTACTATAATTTTGGTACATGAATGATCATTGTAGTGGATTTCATAACTTTTGCGTAGTTAGGATGCAAATTTATTACTATTACTAATGCTTTGATGATCATTGACTTACGAGAGCTGTACATATTACAGTGTAAAAGTATTTGCTTTGCTATTAAGTGAATCTAGATATCCTTAATTAATATTTTCTAAAATTACACTTGTACTTTTGTTCTAATAAACAAACAAATACTAATTCAGAAGTCAAACAACAAAAATCAGCGTTATATTTACAAAATTTTCACAATTACAAAATTCTACTTTTAACCTGCATACTCTCTGGAAACAGAATTCCCCTAGCAGTATCTGTAGTGCTGGAACCTTGCGTCGAACCACAGAATATTTTTCCAATGGCTTTCTACAATCCTAGTGCAATAAGCAAAAATTTTGCAATTTGCCTCAAACCACTAGATTTCGAAGACATTAGCCCCAGACTTGTTGAACTGTGAAAATTTTGTAAATATAACGCTGATTTTTGTTGTTTGACTTCTGAATTAGTATTTATTCGGCGTGTTATTGTGTCTTAAACAAACAAATGTCTTACCAATGATATTCTTTTACAACTTATAAAGTTATCTTACTTTTTATTTCAGATGAATCCCAGAGAGAGGCAGAAGAATGATAAATAGCATCATTTACGGGGTCTTCAATGAAGCGAGGCATAGTTTATCTGTTCTGCACCATCGTGCTATGTTTAATTTTTTACTTCAGTTATAAGTTCTTAAATGTAGAATATCATTCGTATACTCCAGAGTCTATAACAATGCCCAGTATCGTCGTGTTTAGTAATCGTCAAAAGGTGGACACAAAATGCTTTTTTAATATATCATCTCAACCAGTAAATGAAACTTGGCAGAAGTTGGACAGTTTGCATCTTTACTCCGCATACATAGACGCCAGAGTTGAACCAAATGTTGTTCGAATATTAGCTATGTCAAAAGGAAAATGGAATCGTAATATTTACTGCAGAATTTGGTACAAAACCTTAGAATCCGTTGTAGTTGAAGCTGACGTATTGGAGCTATGGGTCCATTCCTGGGATTTAGCAAAACCTCATGATTATTTCAGACCTCTACTTTTAACCTGCATACTATCTGGAAACAGAATTCCCCTAGCAGTATCTGTAGTGCTGGAACCTTGCGTCGAACCACAGAATATTTTTCCAATGGCTTTCTACAATCCTAGTGCAATAAGCAAAAATTTTGCAATTTGCCTCAAACCACTAGATTTCGAAGACGACATTAGCCCCAGACTTGTTGAATGGTTAGAGCTTCAGTTCCTTCTTGGAATAGACCAAGTTAGAGTTTATGTCTATCAGGTCCATCCAACAACATTAAAAGTCTTAAAGAACTACGAAAAATTGGGAAAGATAGCATTGAAAATGCATACTTTGCCTGCTGATAGCCCAAACGAACCAAAAGAGCGCAGAATATTCCTGAAGAATAATATCTGGCAGAAACGCCGCCATGAAATGTTAATATATAATGATTGTTTCTATAGTTTTGTTAATTCTTACAAATTTGTGGTAAATTTAGATTTAGATGAAGCTATCATTCCCGTAGAGCACGACACATGGGAAGATCTCCTCAAACAAGTCAGCTTAGAAAATCCTCAAGCGATGAGAGCGGCTTCTCTTTCGGCTGCAAATGTTTATTTCTTTGATTCTTTTGGAGAAGATCCGGATTTAACTATACCTAAACACATGCATATGCTACGTCATGTGTATAGATCGGCTAATTTCACTCCTCCCGGCTTCGCTCAGAAAAGTTTCTTTCTCACCAACACTACACTTAGTACGTCCAACCATTACGCTCTGAATGTTTTGCATCCTAATTTGCGAACGACTCTACAGATCGATAAAAGATTAGCCAAATTGCATCATTATCGGAATGAATGCCCTCCTCTTATGGAAAAGGATTGCAAGGAAAATTTTATGAAATATTGCGAAAAGGATACAGGGATATGGAAATTTAAGAATAAATTGATTGCACGTTTTTGTCACGTGGTAAAAACTCTAAATTTGACGGATGCAATGGCAAATGAAATATCATGCGTAAAGTAATACATGTCAGATGTATTTGTTCTCTGTATTTTCACTAACGTACCTATAAATATTCAATACAAAACTGAGAGTTCCAGAACATTAGATGAAGTTCAAGAACTGGTATTTTTTAAACTAATATGCAGATAGGAATTGACTTCACAATGGATATTGACTGATCTTAGACAGCGTAACTATACGTCAAATCTCTTACGTCCTTAGTGCAAATATAGCGGAATAATGGCCTTTGAGCTATATCGAATACACCACTATAGTGTACTGGATCACTACACACGTTGTTAGCTTGAAGAGAAATAATTCACTTAACTCATTAAATCACTATTCATGTTCACAACATAACAGCTTTTATATTTAACCAAAAAAATATACAAGAAGCATAGTCTGCAAGCAAGCACGAGCGAGACTATACTACTAATTGAGATACATAAACGGACAGTTGCGTACATACAGTTAGTTTACAGTCAAAGTTACAGTTTTAGGTATATGAAATAATATATTTAAATAAACAATTAGAAAGTAAACAAGAGCTCAAAAGTCCAGTCACAATTAAAACGCCACACCTTTTATCTCATGAGCGGTGAAGAACATTTTTCTGTTTACTATTCAATTAAGAGAAACTAGGTAGTTCGGTTAATAGCAAATTATAAATATTAAATCAAAATGGAGAGATTTACTAAATTCTGACAACCAACCAAAAAAAAAAGAAAAGAAACTTAAATTGGGGGGGGGCAGAAACTTTATAGAAAATGATTGCCGAACGCGGACTTTCGGAACGAGATTTTGCATAAACGCGTTTTCTTAATTGTCTCCATTTGGTTTGTTTGACCAACGGGTAAATTTGAACTATACGTGGTAAGCTGCAGAGCGTCGATCGCATTGTAATAGTCCTCTTTGATTACTGGTTTGAGAATCCATTCATTAAAGAAGCCATGCAGTTACTTATAAGAGTCAAATGTGAGATTTAAAGTTCTAGTTCTCTGTAACGCTGCTGGACACGGTGCTAGGTGCTAAGCTGCTAAGCTCTCATAACATTGCATCCAAATGTGGATGTATTATTCCTTTTACCGAACATCACTTTCTTAATCCAACAAATGGAACAAGGAATCATAAAAGCATTAAAAGTCTGTTATACCAGGTATATTTATGTCTTTGCAAATACGACGAAGGAAAGCACGACACACTAAGAGCATTTTGGAAGCAACTGAATATAAAACACTGCATGGAAATGATTAAACTCCCAAAGGGAACAAGTGAATACATCAAAATGAATGCTCTGACCAGAAGTTGTCAAGAGTTTTAAAAAGATTTCCCTCTATTGAGAATGAAGCTAAAGCTAAGGGAATCATACATATTGCAAAAACAATATACTGCGAAGGATTTTCAGACATGGAAGAAGCAATCAAAGACTTTGTAGAGAATGAGATTATGAAATGACAAATGAAGAACTGGTTGACCTAAAGACAACAGCAGACGTTGAAAACAGCAATACTGAAAAAGGTTAAAAGCCTTCAATGTACAAGTTTGGTTTGGTTTATTTGATGTATGGCAAAGCACTCGAGCGCTATCTGCCTGAGGGAAGAAGCCTTCGTGAAGGACTTTCTAAAGGAAACTGCCTCTTATACACATTATATACACGTTACATATGGGGAAAACCACGGAAACATCCCATTCGCAGGATTCGAACCTCGAACCAGTGTTCAGCGGCTTTACCCGCTCGGTCGGTGATGAGCCTTTTAATGTACAAAAAGTTAAAAATCAGATGTTTAAAAAGACACAGGAACTGCTTGATTTTGTAATGGAGATTGACTCAAATGAAAAAAAAAAAAAAAAAAAAAAAAAAAGAGGATACTTTATGAGAAGTATTGAAAGTTTTTACATTCCTAACCACGAAACGTTTAATGAATTGAGTGTGACATATTCTCAAGCGAAAATCATCAACTATTAAAAAAAATATTTTATCATGTAACTACTTATTAAGCAGTAACAGAAGTCTCTTCAATTAATATTTGTTCATTCTCCCCTTTTAATCATAATAATACTTAGGTTTGTATAAATGATACGTATTTTCTTAGTCTGCACTATACCTAACCCCCCCCCTTTTTTTACATATAAAGCTAACTCTGCGGAACGCCATTTTGCCGTACGTTTAGTAGGCTAATGACTCAACTCCCGTGTTTGGCAAAAGTTTACTCTATTCCTTATTTTTGTAAACAGAAAATTCTTTATCATTTACCTTAAAAACTTTGAACCTGCCGTTTTGAATACTAATATAACTACGCATGCGTGATCTGGACCGATTTATTTACGAAGTATGTTGAACGGGTGTTATCCATACGGAAGAGACTTTTTCTTTTCATGGATTTACAGAAAAGTCACCAAGAAACAAGATACCGCATAAGTATACAAAGGAACAAAGTATACAAGGAAGAGTATGTCACTCAGAAAGCCAGCTAACGCCAAATATGATCGCGCTTATCAATGGTTAGAGGGTAAGTTTATTGCCTTTTTATATCTGAAGATGAGCTCAAACACGCATACGTGATTCTAACCAGTTTATTTAGCAATCAAGTTGAATGAATAATTTCTTGCAAGAGAATATTCCTCCCATCCGCTATTCGTTTTATATCATTTTCAAAAAGAAAAGAATAAAGGAAGGAATAAATTTAATATTTTTTAAATTTTAGTAAATAAAACATTTAAACGTCATTAAAATAAATCCCCATCACCAAAAGCACGTTTCTGAATCCTTTTTAGAGACCTATCAGAATTTTCAAAGCAAAAAATGCGAAAAATATGCAGCACGTTTGTCGCGATTCGAACTCTAGACATGTTTCCAATTATTCCACGATGGAATGCGATAAGGAAGGATGGATAGTGTAAAAGCTTAGGTTTACAATCTGTCTATCATAAGAAAAGCTCTCGCCAATTAGTCTGCAGCTGTCTGTTGATGTAGAAACGAGCCTTGACCCATTTTCCGTAGAGTTGTCATGAAGATTTACTTTTCAGTTCGCCATCTTAGCGCATTTAAAGATGAATTAGCAACATATGGTTCGGCGCTATTTGAAATTTACTATCCCTGTTGCTATAGCGACCGCCACCAGCCGGGCACTGTGGCGGGATCTGTTCTTCTCGTAGACAGACAGTATATACATATTCAATTTTTTGCAGATAATTTTGCAAATAAAAAGAGAGAAATATGTATCTCACAAAATATATAGTGAATGTACTCAAACAAATACATTTAGTCGACATTTTACTTTGTCACTTAGATTTTAGTCCATCTAAATCTTATGTAGTAATACATGTAAATAACAAAAAGTAAAAGTAAAGTATCGATAAATATTTTTGTGACAATGCATCTAATAATCCTGAAATGTTAACACATTATAAAACAAAATGTGAAAAAAAAGCAAAAATTATATTTTGGTAATATGTTTATCACCTATTTCTGTCACTTTAACTAGTATTCTGCTAAAATAATACCAGTAACAGATTTATTCGTATTATTTTTTTTAAATTCGGATGTAGAACGTAGTTGAATATCTTAAAAAAATTAACAAGAAAAGTTGTTAAAACATTTCAACAAAAATTTAGTGTCCGAATTATTAGGTGAAATACTGATTAACAATTTTTGGACTCATTATTTTATTGCAAGAAATATTTTGACGGTATTAATTTTACAAGTAAAGCTTAAAATAGAGAAAAAATAATATATTAGAAAATCATTTAAAGGTCTATGTTTCAATATTTAGTACAAGATCTATGCAAGTAAATTTCAAAAATACAACTGTCCGAAAGCAAATGTGAGCCACTGTAAATCATCATTATTTATCTATAATCTAATAAATGCTTCTAAATAATTGTAGATTACATTATGGAGAGTTTAATGAATTTCCATTTGAGTTATTGTCATGCGTTCAGTTAATTGCTACGTAAAGTACAAATCATAATAGCAATTTGTCATATGTTTCAGGTAAATAAATGCCAGTTTTCCTTAGAAAGTCATCCACGAAGACATCTGTTTCTCAAGCAGAAAGTCCTCCTTGTGTTCTTTTCATATTCGATTAAGCAAACATAATAACAACAATGTTAATAATAACAATAACAATGTTAATAATATTTATTACATAATAATAACAATGTTAATAATATTTACATGTGGTAGAATAAATGTTAAAGATATTATAGCAACCAGAGTCAGCATAAAATGTATAAATTCGCAGGAATGTAGTTTAGAAGGTTAAATAGAATCTTCTTCAGCTTCAGAAGTGAAAATGACGAAGAGACAGCATGTGCTCATGCGAACCATCTAGTCATGTTTCAAAAATACTCCTAAACTGCAAATTAGCCGTGCTTCAATCCATCATAAGGGATAAGCATCGACAACTCTACAAAATTTTATTTGGGTTATGCTAGCTATCTGGAACTTACAAATTCGTATATCAAATATATTACCACAGAACAAATGTCTTCATCTAGAACTGAGACAGTGTTCAAACATCATTAAAAGATCCTTGCGTCGAAATTCCAGACCTTTCTTTCACAGTCTTCCAATTTAAAGTAGTACTTCTAAAATAAGTAAAACTTCCGATAGTCAGTGTTTCTAATGTTAGTTTCTGAGGAACAAAGAGAATTTTGAGAGAATTTAAAAGAGAATTCTGAGATAAAATTTTACTTTTCCCAAACCTCAAAATCTTCTATTCCAAAAATTTTGATTTCCTTTTGAAAAAGCTTCTAAATTCAGTAAAATTTTAGAAACACAGAAAGAAATGATTAGGCATTATTATTCATAATATGAAATTTAATAATAAAACTATAAATCCTAACCCAAACACGAGAGCAAAAGCTATTTTATCCGAAATCCATTCTATTCTAGATATTAATATTTCAAAAGCTGACAAAGGTGACCAAATAGTCTTCATAAAAAACACTTAACCGATGATATCACTAAACTCTTAAATGAAACGGTCCTAAACATAATCATTCTAACATTATTTCTTCTGTTGCCAAATTCCAAAGTTCAGTGAAACTTCGGCACGCAGGAAAATCGTGACTCACGTCACGAGCAGTACTGCCTATTCAGAGGTGGGACACACCTATTGCGAACTGTGCCAGATTATATGTTTTTCTCAAAATTTATAACAGCGTTATCTTATTCCACCTTATTATAACGAATTTACGCATTGCCTTTTATCTGTTAGTTAAATGTTTAGTTTCTGAATTTCAGCTTTACTATCAGTAACACTTAACACCATTGAAAAACTCGATAGACATTGTTATTATAAATTAAAAGATATTTCTCGTAGAAATTTTATCGTGGCTTCATTTGATGTAAAATCATTATTCACCATTGTTACTGAGGAACGTGTGCTTAAATCTCTAGAAACTAAGTTTGAAGAACTTCATATCTTATGTATCGAGTATCGAAACTGATGAGTTAATTTCCCTTTCTCAACTTTGTCTGAAAACTACACACTTTGTTTCCCAAAATAAATATTACCGTCAGACTGACAAAATAGGAATGAAGATTATCCGAGGAAACGCCTTTCAGGTCTTATCCTTGCTGATATCTATATACATTAATTTGAATCCAAATTATTTAAAATTAAAAATTTTTCACTTTGGTTCCGCTACATTGATGATACTTCTGCTCTTTTTGAAGTTAATAAAGAAGATTTATATGAAATTCTTGCAACAATGAATTCCATTCCTCCTATTCAGTTCACTTTTGAATTTGTGATATCTAGTTTCATTTCTTGACATCTTGGTCACACAAAATATATCTAATTTCAGCACTACTGCTTACAATAGGGTGAACTTCCATCTATTTGCTCTCCACCACATTTCATTGCCTGTCATTCCACTAAACAGAAGTTGGTTTGATTCTTTCGTTTACCATGCACTCCAAGTCAGCTCTTGATCAAGAATTCAACAACAGAAGAGCAATAGTTACAAATGACAGAATCAGGCTAATCACCTCGTATTATTGACGAAGCAAGTTAGAAAATTTTTATCTCAAGACAATATAAAGCCTTCTTTCGTTTTGGGTGATTATGAAAATTCAGTAGTCATTCCTTTCTTCCCATCGGCTAGCTATAAAACTGCATGCGTTTACAGAACATTTGTATCATTTTAACTTCTACCAATAAAATTCGTCCTTCCATACTGAAATATGAACTCTTGAGGTATGTAAAGTATTCTTTGCCAGTGGCATAATATACATTGGCCAAACTAAAAGAGCCTTGAAATCCCGCACTAAAGCGAATGAGATACATATCAGGAAAAAAAGGAACACATAAATACTCAAATCCCCAACACTGCTGATCAAATAATCACATTTTGCTTTTCACTTCCTGCAGAGTTACTTAAGAAACATCCTTCATTGGCAAATTATATTTTCTAATGGCGTTTTAGATTCATAAAAACCTTTTATTTCTAGTTAGTGATCGCAGCTTTAATCCGTCTGATCTTCAGCTATTAAAGAAATTATTTAATAATTCTTTTCGGTTACATTCTCATCAAATGATGTCATTGGATTTGTTTCTCTTCCTTAGTTGGAAATTTCTCTAATTTTTTTTTCTATTTTTTCGCGTGAGCAGATGCTTTCCTTTTGTTATTTTCTTTCCGGCAGCTAAAGAAGAAAATTCTATGTAACCTTTGAAACTATAGTTTTGCAAACTTACGCAACTTACGCTAATTCTTGTTACCATGCAATATTTAACAAAAACAAAAGTAGTTCAATAGGAAGCACAGCAGTGCCGTAGCTACAGTTAGGTTAGATTAGGTTGTGTCTAAGGATCCACGAGTTTTATGGGTCCAATTATATTTTGATATTTGAATA